TGTTAAGTGCTTGTCCTGAAACTATCCGGCTCACACTGCACCATCTTCCTCCCTTGAAATGAGCTCCAAGTGCAGAGGAAGGGAAGCAGCCATCATTCTAGGGTCATCATAGGCATGCCAGAGGATCCCAGGTTTTAGCAAAGGGTAATAGGAGGCCCTGGAAATGCCATGCCCGTTGAATTCTCTCCTGTGGGCAACTTTCATCCCCATCAAAATAGTAGGAGACTACAAAAAAATTCATCAGGAAGTGTGTCGCAGTTTCATAGACTGACAGATGGAGGCATGTAGCAATACATCTTTTGTTACTTCCCTTGACAGCTATAGATTGCATGCTGTGTTTAACTGGGCCGATACACATATCCTGCAGGTGTACTGTTGAGAGAAAAGATTTGGGACATTTTTCTGGCTATCACAGAAATAAAGTACCTAGTTCTGGAAATAAATTTTCTGGTAGTCCAAAGAATGTTTCTCTCTATAACTCCAAACACTCCCTCTAGTCACATAACCCTAACAAAGGCATTTTAATGCCCAGCAAATTTATTTTCAAACATGGATAGGCCAGCCTGCATTAAAGGTTTCTCTTCTGTTGGGAGCATAACGTGATCATAATCAGTGATTCTATAAATAAGGGAATGTATTTCTTTACTAAAGCATCAGGCTTCATAAAAGACTATATTTATATGTAAATAAGCACTTTGGGATAATTAAACTTGATGTTCTAGATTTTATTTTCATAGTTAAAAAACTGAAATTGTGTTGTGTCCTTTCGGCAGTTCTAGTTAGCAAGTACCCGCAGCTTAGAGAAGCTAGTTCTCCACTAGCCAGTCACACTGACATCATGTTGCATTTGATGAAAGGGCCTTCCCAGAAGCACTCACGCCTGATTAAGCACATTGTGTAGATTACAGAGTTTTCAGACAAACAGAAGAAAAAATCATTTTCTACCCCCAGTTTCAGACGGCACAGGTATATTATCTAATGAAAACAAGATTTCTCTGAGGAATATGGAATACATTTAACGTTCCCACACAAATAATTATTCTGCCACAATCTGCAAGATGCTGAGACAGAGGCAGACATGGTCACATTTTTCTTAAGTTCTGATGATACTCCCCATTAGGGAACCAAGCAGGGTTCCCATCTCCCAGAAGACAGTTCTGATGTTGATGGATATCAAAAGTGGAAGTGGGACAGTCATAAGAATTAACCCACATAGGCTGAAAAACGGTGATATAAATGTAGTTACATTATATCACATATGAGAATGAGTATGATTCTTTTTTTGGCGGGGGGGGGGGTGCAGAGACAGGTTTATTGCAGGGCCATGCAAGGAGAATGGGTGGCTCATGCTTCCCAAAAGCCCTATCTCTCCAAAGGGTTTCAGCAAAGCATTTTTAAAAATATATATATATATATGATTTATATGTTAATATATTTATAACATACTTAATTATACACATACATTATGTTTTGAAATATAACATCAAATTCCCCATATCCAACTGAAGTCTAGTTGACATACTATGAGGGCATTTAATCATGTAGCTTTCATTAATTTCAGTGGGAAACACAGACCCCAATCCATCCCTGACAATCCTTTAAATTTTAAAAGCTTGCTTTTTATAAAATCCATGACTTTGCCTTTTGGGAACCTGGATGATGAGCAGGACAGAGCTCATAGCTAATGGAATGGATCTACAGAGTGCTGCAAACCGACCAAAACAGCGTGGCTGCTTTACAGAAAGGGAAATTACATTCTGCCTATGAGTCAGAGCTTCTGACACCACAAGGTAAGCAGTCTCCTAAAATGCCCCAGGACAATACATATGTGATGGTTAAGTTTATGCGTCAACTTGACAGGGCCACAGGTGCCCAGATATTAGGTATTTGGTCAAACATTATTCGAGGTGAGTCTGTGAGGGTGTTATTGGATGACTTTAGTGTGTGAATTGATAGACAAAGCAGACGATCCTCCTAGGGCCCATGCAACCAAGTGAAGGCCTGAAGAGAACAAAAAGGCTGACCCTTTCCCAAATAAAGGGGAATTCTTCTTGCCTGACTGGTTTTGAGTTGGGACTCAGTTTTCTCCTGACTCTGGACTTGAAGCTCTTCCCGGGTCTTGAGCCTACTGGCCCTTGAACTAGAATTACACCATCTGCTCTCCTATCTTCAGTCTGCTGACTACGATCTTGGGACTTCTTAGCTTCCAAAATCACCGGAGCCAACTCCTTATAATAAATCATACATATTATACATATGTACTTGTAATATATTAAACACACACACACAGACAGACACACACACACACACACACACACACACACACACACACACACACACACACACACACACACACACACTACTCTTACTGACTCTATTTCTCTGGAGAACCCTAATATAATATTATAAGGAAAAATAAAACCTTCCCTATGGAGCCACCAAAGAAGGAAAGCTGGGGATGTCTCATTCAGCACCAAGAGAACAAAGAGGAAGAGGCCACAGCAGCCAACAAATGGTGACATTATTAGAAAGTATGTGAAATTTGAAAATACAACATGACAAATATTCCTACTTGGTTGGTGTAAGAGGCCTGGAACGAGTAACCAAAAATGTACCAGACAGGAAAGGGCGGTGGGGAATATCGAGGGAGGAAAGGCTGGATGAAAGAGAGAAGACCTGCTCAAAGACAATTATAATTCTTTTCCCTGAAAAATATGATCATTCACGCAAATTCATACAGACGCCCCTCTCCAATCTACATTAACTCACGCCACCATGAGCACCGCCTCCCTCCCAGGCTAGAGCTGTGGCCACACACACACATACACGCACACACACGTACACACAAACGCCCCACTGCTAAACTGCAAATCCTTATCACATATGCTAAGTAATAGCTAATCAAGCTGTAGAGAACTTTTGCTTTTCCATTCTTGTTGATTTAAGTGCCAAGGTGCTTCTGAACAATCTTATAAATTTTAGAGCCTTGTTCTCACAACACCCACAAATGCTGTAAACCAAACTTGTTTGGGTTCACAGAGTGGGAACCGAAGTTACCAGAGGGAAGGCTTGTGGATTCAAAAAACTCCTAGGATCACAGCCACTCTTTGAAAGCTTAAGACCAGCTGGGTGTGTGGAGGCTCGTGAAGTGAAAGGGAATTTAGGATTCATTAAATACTCTCACGGATAAAGACCTAACTATTTGCTCAGGTTTGGGGATCAGTGCTCAGAAGTCTGTTGTCCCATCCCCAATATGCTCCCCAGCAAAGTTTTCTCTCTTTGGCTGGCTCAGTATTGACAGCCTGCACAAAAGAAGGCTGATTGATTCTGAAATAAGTGTGTAGGCTGCGCAGGGCTGACCAGAGCCTGTGTGTTTCTTTGCCTTTCTTGCCCTCACATATCTCTTTATCTCCCGCTCTAAATGTCTTTTCTTCCCAGGGGTTAAGAACAGAGGCTCTGGAGCCCAACTCTGGGACTTTCTGACACTTAACTAGCTGTGGGTCACCTTGAGAAAGTTATTTACTGCTTTGTGCCTCAGTTTCTTCAGTAGCCAGATGTAAAAAATTCGGCTTGTAAGCGTGTAAGGTTGTGAGGATGAAATGATTCATGCGTGTCAAGCTCCTGAAGCAGTCCTGGCATGTGGTACATGTCCAGCAGTGTCAGCCCTATTGACCTTGTGGACTCTCTGACTCACGTCTCCTGACCCCAACAGGTGGGAAGTTGCTTCTGGCTCATTTATAGCATTTATCGCACTGTCTAGAAAGCACCTATTTACCAGCCTGCCTCCCCCCAGACTGAGCAGGAATCATACCTTCTTTCTCATTATCTCTGCCCGCACCCAGTGTGATGCTTGGCACACAGCAGATACTACGTGCTTGAAGGGGTGGCCTAGTCTAACAAGGGGAGCATGGTACCTAAGGGCTGCTGCTTTTGAAGAGCAATGGCAGTGCGGTAAAGCAAAGCTCCAGGTGGAATTCTGCAAAGAAACATAATTCACCCTTTTGGTGTATGATCAAGTCCTGGGATTTTTAATTTGCTTAAACTCATCTGCTTTAAAATCTTTCAAATAAGGTAACTTTTGTTTACATACTTGTCCTTCTTAAAGGCATAGAGAAGTAAGCCTAACAAAGCTAACTGAATCAATGTTTCTTCGGCCCCAGGAGACCAAAATTCGAGAAATATTTATAAGGTTACATTTAATTATCAGTTGCACATAATGCATAATTATTACTTTTAAAGAATAACATCTTTCCAAATACAAACAAGGGCATATCATCAACAGACCCAGAACAAGGCAGAAGTTACGTTAGTGAGGCCTGGCTCCCCAGATGGACATTTCCCTTAAATGAAGAAGGGATAACAAGATGACCAGAAGACTAACCCTGGTCTCAGTTATCTGATTTGATCTCAGTTTCAAAAAACCTTCTGCTGAAAGTGTTTTTCTTGTGAAACATCCTGCTCAAAGGCAAGTCCCTGAGACACACAAACAGACAGACTGGCACGCATGTTTCCCACTCCAGACCAGTTAAGAAACTCAGGAAAAGTCAGAGCCTTTTTCTTGCATGATTTTTGCTACTCCCATATGAAACATCCACAGATGTTTCTGTCTGATCACAGATGTCACTGTCAGGTCAGATTAATAAAAGCCATATTCTCCAGCTAAGCAGAAAGAAAAAGAATAAAGGAATTCAAATATACAAACACTTTGTAACAGAAAAGAACAGGCGAATTCACATTTTATGTTTCTGACCACACACATTTTTCACTTAGTTAAAAGAATTTGGGAAGATGAGTCTAAGTTCGTCTACTATTTAGAATAATGACGGCTAAGGAACCTCCTAGAAAACAATATTCTTTGTGGTGGGAAAACAGAACACCTGAAATCAAATATTAAATGAAATGAGTTACCTCAAGAGCCGAAGTAAAGATTCCCAAGAGGTTCAGCTGGTTCAGTTATACAAAAAGTGAACTGGGGAGCAGGCACCCAGGACCTTACTCACCACGATATCCTCGGGGAATGTGTCTCTGCTGAAGGAGCCGTCATCAAACACGACCTCATAGAAGGTCTGCGCCGTCACAGCGATCACCCTGCAGCTGTAGTACCGGGTGTTGCGATGCTTCGTGATGACCGTCTGCCCCACAGCGATGCCCTTCTCGCCAGCCTTGGACTTCTAAGGAAGGGGCAGAGAAAGAGGAGAGAAAAGAAACAGGAGAAAGAACAGAAAATAAAAGAAATATTTATTTAGAAAACATCATTGGTGTGGTCATGATATACACTCTTAATTGTTAAACCTTTTATTGGGGAGTAATTTCAAACAGAAGTTGCAAGAATATGAATAATACAAAAACACACATATACTCTTTGGCCCTTTGCTCAGGTTCATCTACTGTTATTTATTGCTATTGTTAACATTTTACCATTTCTCTTTTTTTGCCTACTCTCTATTTTACATATGTGTATATTTAAGTATATACATATATAAATACAATTGTGTGTGTGTGCATGCCACAAACCATTTGAGAATAAGATACATATAATCATGGGCTTTAACACCTAAATACATCAGTGTGTATTTTCTAAAAACAGGGATTTTCCTTTATATAACCACAGTACAGTTACTAACTTTAGTAAATTTAACATGGATGCCATACTTTAATCGACCATGCATATTCCAATTTTGTCAAGTGAGCCAATCACGATCTTTATGGCCCCCATCCTTTATGTACAGGATGCAGTCTTGAGTCACATGCTGCATTTAGTTGCCAAGTCTCTTTGACCTCCTTTAATCTGGAACATTTCCACAGCCTTTCTTTGTCTTTTATGATCGTGATACTTTTGAAGGATACGGCTCTCCCTCCCCCTGCTTTTTCAGTAGAGCATATGTCTGATGTTTCCTCATGATTAGATTCAGGTTATACATTCCTGGCCAGAATACCACTACCACAGAGACAATGTCGTATTCTTCTCAGGATATCACATCTGGAGGCACATGTTTGTCCACCTTTCAATGGTGATTTTAATTTTGATCCTGGTCAAAGAGTAGTCCGATTTCTTCATTTTGTAATGACTATTTTTCCCTTCCAACTAATAAGCAATCTGTGGGAGGGACTTTAACACCATGTAAATATCCTGTTCCTCCACATTTCTGCTTAGATTTAGCAACCATTGATGAGTCTTGCTTGATCCAATTTTACTATGATGGTGATGATATGCTGATTTTTCCTGCTCCAGCACTCCCTCCACATTTACTAGTTGGCACCTGGCAGTTATTAAGCAAAAATCTCCTACCTTCCCCCCATCCATCCATCCATCCATCCATCAGTCATCAGTATGGAATTATTAATTCCTCCTCCCCAACTGTTTAGAATTCATACTATAATTAATAATTTGGGTGCTCAGATTATCCCAGATTTGGTCAATAGAAGCCTCTTCAATCTGTTTTCCTGTGCCCCTTAAGATGTCTTTTTATTTCTTATGAGTTCCTTACTTTCTGGCCTAACAAGATGTGTCAAGATCATCTTGCCTCAGCCCTGGAATTAACATTTCCCTGAGGAGCGTGGTTCATTTTAGAGGGCATTGATATTAGAGAATAAGATCCAGGTGCTTAGGTGTGCTTATTAGTACAAAAGCACCATTGTTTCTCGACCCTTTCAGAGGACAGACCAAAGAAATATATGCATGTCGATATGTGTGTGTGTGTGTGTGTATATGTATGCATACACACACACACACTATCACCCTACAGGTCTACATAAACATATGTATAACCATGGAAAAGCATGGACTAGGTCTCAGAGTACATGTGTCATGCTATGGAAGCAGAAGGCTTCAGGATAAACGCTTCAGGAAATGCTTTGGAGAGTGCTGGGCTCAGAGTAAGTACTCCAGAAATGTTAGCTTGCCGTATTTGGGGTTTTCTGTTTGTGTGCTTGCTTGCTTTGTTTTATTTTTCAGAATAAGGCTGTTGCTCCCCTGTCAGGAACTCATACAAACCCCATTCCTGCCAGGCAGAGAGGGTAGCCAACATCTTACAAGGAAGTCTGCTCTCAAACATTCAGTCCCTTTTACTCCCCAGCTCCAAGTATCATTCATCACCCTTATTCTTTTGATGCCACAAGCTCTGACCCACTAGGGGGGGCCTGAATCAAGCACTTGGGAAGGTCCAGAACCTTTGCTAAATGGGCCCTAGAAGGCACAGTCTCATGATCCCCAAGATACCAACATTAGTCTGACATGTCACCCCTAACCTACAGAGAGCCAAGATTCATTAAACCCCAGTGTTTTCTGACAGCAGTATTTATAACATTACTGGGAAATAAAGTGTCATCAATTCAGAATCTTGGTTTAATTAGAGGTTTTACTTATTTTTTTCCCTGAATTTCAAAAAAGGCTAAAACACCTTGTAGGAAACATATAAAGTGCTATGCTTAATCTTTTCCTTCTGGAAACCAAAGAAGAAATGCCCAGAGAGTTAATGATTCACTAATTCCTTCAACAGTCATGTGTTGCCAGCCAGTGGACACCAAGCACCTCCCCTGGTGCTGGGGACTCAAACAAAAACCACTAAGACTTGATTCCTGTTCCCTGGAACAGGCCCACAAAGGTACGTGCCACGAAGTTATCTTACAGATGGCATGATTCAAGACTGGTGATATTCTAGCATTGCCAGCTACAGCATGTCTTCATACTCACAGGCAGAATTAGGGGACGAGAGCAATGAAGTACCAAGTAATGGGCACGAGCAAAAGTCCGGAAGCAGGAAACAGCCCGTTCTGTTCTGCGAACAGCAAGAGATCTGCTGTTGTGCGGGAGGGGAAGCGGGGAGAAAGGAGACTTTAGAAATGGCCTGGTGCCCAGAGGTCAGGCTATGGGGTAGAGGGGAGTAGAGCAGCTCTTATGCCATCCTAAGGAGTCTATATATTACCCTGTGAGCCTAAGGAAGCCACTGAGAGGACTAAGCATAGAAGAAAAATGATCCAGGTCTGTGTGGCTTTTAGGGGAGAAGGGGCAACTCCATGTGGGAGATGAGGGCCTACAGACAAAGATGCTCATGACTTGGGTAGAGGGCCAACTGTCTCCCAGACGTGTTCCTAAGAGTCCCCTCCTTGTAGAGTGAGCTCTGCCATCTAGTTTCTCACATGCCTAACAAAACAAAAGGATATTTTCCTTCTTGAAATCATTCCCTAATGATTGCTAGGTTGGTTGGGAAATTTTTCTGTGCCTTTGGGTGTAGTTAGCTGTGTAAACATTTTGACAAAGGACAAGAGCAAGAAGCCCATAGTGATTTAAACGTACTTTGCTTGAAGTAGAAATCTTTAACAGCTAGGCCACAGTACCTGACACATGCCAAAATAATTCCCTAGTTTCCCACTTCATTCCTCTGCCCAACCCCTTTAAATATACCTAAGCTTTCAAAGTAAGAGAACAACTTAGATGTAATAATAAATTCGAGTGAGGGCACAGTCTGCAGAGTTCTGTAACTCCAAAATTGGGCCCATGACTACTGCTTAAGATTGTATCAGGGTTTCCCTGGTGGCGCAGTGGTTGAGAGTCCGCCTGCCGATGCAGGGGACACGGGTTCGTGCCCCGGTCCAGGAAGATCCCACATGTCGCGGAGCGACTAAGCCCGTGCGCCACAACTACTGAGCCTGTGCTCTAGAGCCTGCCAGCCCACAACTACTGAGCCCACGTGCCACAACTACTGAAACCCGTGCGCCTAGAGCCCGTGCTCCACAACAAGACAAACCACCACAATGAGAAGCGTGCACACCGCAATGAAGAGTAACCCCCGCTCACCACGACTAGAGAAAGCCTGCACGCAACAACAAAGATCCAATGCAGCCAAAAATAAATTAAAAAAAAAAAAAGATTGTATCAGTTACAACTGACCCTAGGAGGTGAAGGTTGCAACTTGTTTGGCTGAACACAGTGGTCCTTAGTGACCTGGATTAGGGCCAAAAAAGGCTTCATGTTGGCAGCATATTTTTGCAAATGCTGTCCCTCTGTCAAACCACCTTAAAAACACTCATAGTCAGAATTGCATGTACTGTATTTTACTATGATAATAGTTTCATTGTGCATATTTTATTAAAATTGGAATGCACCTGCTAAGGAAACAATGTTTTGGATTTGAATTATAAGCTCAGCTTCCTCCTAGCTGTGTGATCTTGGGGATGTTATACAACCTTTAGCAGCCTCAGTTTGCTCATCTGTAGAAGGGACAGTAATACTTACATTAAAGGTTTCCTATAAGAGGAAGTACATAAAATGCGTAGACTCATAGGCAGTTGGTTCTTGGCAACTGTTAACTGGCTTCATTTTAAGAACTGAAGAACATATGTGAGAACCTAGCCCCAGGTTAATACACCACTCTTCCCTACTGTACCCCAGTAACTAGCATATACAACTGTGCAGCACCCTGGTTTCACATGACAAGGCTCAGTCCAACTCTAAATAATCACTGTCCTCCTCTTTATCTCATCCCCTTCTGACTCTAATTCTTGTCAAACGGGGGCACATAGCTATGGTTCTTAGGAAGGAAGGCATAAATAATGTGGTCTCCTCCCTCCACCCCCAAGGCTCTCAAAGCCTTTGTTTACAACTCTGTTAAGGCTCTGGTCAAATGTCATTTTCACTGACTATCCCTCCTATAACGGCAAAATCCACAGGTCAGTGCCAGGACCTCTTTGTCTTTTTATTTGTGGCACCCAGTACACTGCGTACAACACTGTTGTCGTCAGATGAACAATGAATGAATAAATGAATGGAAAAATGAATGAACAGGAAAAAACTAAATAAATGAACTGTGATGAGGGGTAGAGACACATTTTTTAAATGGGAGAAGACTGATTCTAATTATTCACTGTCCAGAAAAGGGCAAAAAGAAACAAAGGGGAGTTTTAGGAAGAAGTTCCTCTTTCTTAGGGTGGGTAGACATGTATGTAGGTAAGGGGAGGAAATAAAGAAGGTTTATAGTGAGAGTCACAAGGTCTGGAAAGTAGAAGCAGCCAGTCAAGGGAAAAGAAAAGTGACAAAGACTTGACAGAGAAAAGGTTGATTCTAGACCACAACCATTTTCTTCCTGCTAGGACACGAAATTTATGCAAACTGGCTGGTTGGAAAGATGGCCAGCACACAAAGTAAATATACAGCCTTCATCTAAATAAAAAT